ACGGATTGAAAAGGAAAGTACGAACATTAAAAATGGACGGAGAGAGTATATATTTTTATGGAATCGGTCATAATTCAACAGAAAAAATTAAAATAAACCGTTAAAAATGAATGGGGAGAGTATATATACATTTAAAAAAATTGTGAACGTCATGGATAGAAACCTAGCTAACCGTTTGAACCGAATGCCGTTTGCATGGAATAAATTATACTCCGTAAAGAGTTTTTACTTACACAAGAAAACTCCCACATGTAAGAAACTAATTACATTCTATTTATAGTAAATATATTGAATACCTCCGCCTCTCAACATACTATAAAACCCTATATATAGTCCAACCAATTAACTCACCACATCTCCAAGATTTTAGCAATACCAAACACATACACTTCATCAATTCTCTCATTCAAACCAATGGCTTCTTTTACAAAGACTAGCTGCGACACTAGCTACTATCACAAAAGTAGACCAAACTAGAAATCTAATTCAATAAGAGAAGGCCAATGGTGGGTTACTAGAAATGGTTCCCATTTTGAGCTCAATGGCTCACCCTTCCTTTTCAATGGGTTCAACTCTTATTGGCTAATGCATGTTGCTAGTGACGGCAACGAGAGGCACAAAGTCACCGAGGTTCTCAAGGACGCTGCTGATGTGGGCCTAACTGTGTGCCGAACTTGGGCTTTTAGCGATGGAAACCGCTATAATGGGCTACAAATATCTCCCGGTGTTTACGATGAACGTGTTTTTCAAGTTCACTAATTAATTACGTCCAGTACTTTAAAGCATATTGCATTGCGAATTTTGAAAGACATTATTGAAAACCTCTGTCCCATAACATTTTTCCTAGTTTGACATTTGTGGTCAATATTTTTGTTGGGATATGTTAGCGGATAATTGTAATTGGGCCTGTACTTGTAGCCCATTTATGTACTTGTATATATATCGGTTTATGATCAATGGAAAACGAGATCAGTTCCGCTAAAATTCTACATGGTATCAGAGCCAAACCTAGGCTTCTTTTGGTTTCTGCTCTCCGGCGTCCAACGCCGTATTTTTTGTTCTTCGCCGATCAGATTCCTCCTCTCCGACGGAAGGTCTGACTTCAGGATTGTGCGTTGTCGCGAAAGCTTAGCCAGTATTTACTCCCGCAATTTCCCGATTGAGAATCGATCACGACATCTCTGTTCCGTGCGGTTAGTCGGCATCTCGTGTGTTGCTGTTGTTGATCGCCCGGTTAGTCGGCATCTCGTGTATATGTCGCTGCCAATTGATTCCTTTTATTATTATTGACTTGTTTTGCTGCCAATAATTGCATCTATTGATTGAGTGCCACTGTACTGTCCATCTTGGCTAATATTTCCTGCGGTGATATTCATCAAACCTTCTGCCAAAAGTGCCCTTTGTTGATTGTGCTGCTGCTGCAAATATTTGTTCTTGATTGTGCAGTATTGTTGTGTGGTGGTTTTTTTTATTGTTCTCCATGATTAATTCAACACTCTCTTCCTCGGATAAGGTACAAGGTGTGTCCCTTGGTGTGTCCTATGAGTGGCTTGTGGACAGTGGTGCATCTCATCATATGACAGGAACAATTTCGTGTTTGTCTGACATAGTGCAAAGGCCTCCTTGCACTATAAGTTTGCCTGATGGGGCTCATGTGGTGGCAAATTCTTGTGGTCGAGTACAAGTTTCTCCTTCTTTAACTTTACATAATGTTCTTTATGTTCCTAATTTGAAGTGCAATTTGATATCAGTGAGTTGTCTTGTCAACTCACATAACTGTCATGTTTTCTTTAATGATCATTCTTGTGTGATACAGGACCGAACTACGAAGACGCGAATTGGTCAATGTGAAGCACGCAACGGGGTCTATGTCTTTCCTTCTCAAGCCCAAGCGTCCAAAGCCGAGTCTGTTTCCTTATTACACCAACGTCTTGGTCATCCGTCTCCTCAAGTTTTGTCTCTACCTCCATTTAATAAGAATACTACTGAAATTAAAAATTTTCAGTCTTGTGATATTTGTTTCTTTTCCAAACAGACACGTTCCCAATTTTCCCCTAGTCTTAATAAAGCAGATGCATTGTTTGATCTTATTCATTGTGATTTATGGGGTCCATATTCTGCTTGCATATCCACTGGGGCTCATTACTTTCTCACCATTGTTGATGACTATTCTCGAGCTGTTTGGGTATTTCTTATTATTGACAAAAGTGAGGTTACCAGTTGTTTGAAACAATTTTTTACCATGATTCGAACTCAGTTTGGTAAAATAATTAAGGTTGTGCGCTCAGATAATGGTACTGAGTTTCTCAATAAACCCTTGCGTATGTTTTATAATGATATGGGTGTTCTGATTCAAACTTCTTGTGTTAATACCCCACAGCAAAATGGTCGGGTCGAGCATAAACATCGTCATATCCTTAATGTCGCCCGATCTCTTATGTTTCAGGCCTCTTTGCCAATTGAATTTTGGGGGGAGTGTGTACGTACAACGGTTTATCTCATTAACCGCACACCCACTCCTCTGTTACTAGGTAAATCTCCTTTCGAAATTCTT